TGCTGTTAAGAAGGTGAGTTTTGTTGATGTAAATAATAACTGTTTATATATTTATAATAAATTTATTTTTGTTTCCTAAAATATTTTGATTTAAAGAAAATATATAAGAGTGGGCAACGCTGTACCGGTCAAGCTTAATCACGCAACTAAAAGTTTATTTGGTATGAACTATATGTTATTCTCTCAAGAACTTTCATTTTTTTTTTCATATTAATGAATTTAACTTTCGGCGTCTGTGTTTCCTCAAAACCATAAATCTCATTCATTTTCCCCAAAATTAACGCGAAAAAACCGATTTTAATTGTATAAATTTCGTATTTAATTTGTTTAAGAGCCCGGTTTGGTGTATCTGTATGTCACGCTAAGTAGGCGCGTCTGTTCGATAAATTAGATGTTTATCAACACGGCAAAACTAGAACGCAAACCGCCACGATTTCTTGCTTCTTACCAATTCGATCTAGAACGGAGTAGGGATGTTTTGATTTGTCCAAAATATCGATATGGTTGTAAGATAAACGTGTATTGTAATCGCAGAACATTTTCCGATGCACGTCATCAATCACATTGATGACATTGACACTAAAGTCTATAAACTTGACTAAATAAAATTTTGACAAAAATGTTTAAATTTGTTGTATAATTTAAGATACCGAGCAGCTCTTCATTTTACTTTATAGAGCAAAAATGATTGTAACAGATATTTTATTTAGATTAAAGCTGCAAAAATTAGTTTAAACCGAATTTTATTATCGCTATGTTGGTCACATTGCGCCGTTTCAGCAACGTTGTCCTTCATTATTGACAATTATCCTACTGTCAGTCATTATTTTGTATAATATCGTGTTGTAGTTGAATCTTTGTGAGTAATTCTCGTTTTTTTGCCTATTTTAATAGTATTTTTTTTTTAAAAATTGCACCTTTAAGCACAAACAGTTCTTTTAAAAACTAAATTTTCGAGTTTTTGTATTGCATTTCTTGAAATTGTGTGTTGAAAATATGCCGAAGCATTTAAACAGTCGATGCAAAGAGCTTGAAGCTTCCCTGCTTCTCTAAAACTATTTTGAACGAAAACGTGACGATAAAGGTCCTTTATTATCCTTGACTGCAGCCAGAAAGGTAAGTTTGCTTGATAAGGACATTACCTGTTATTATCACCTATGGCGTTGTAAGATGTACATCAATAAATCAATAACCCATAATAACGCTTATAATAATCTTCATAATGGACTAGTTTTTGTCAATATGTAATAAGTAAAATAAGCTATAAAACAAATAACTCAATTAATCACTAAAATCTTAGCTATTAAATTAAAAATAAAACGTAAAACTCTTTAAAAAATGATATAATAAATATGTTGTTTGTCAATTTTAAATTAAGATTCATCTCATAAATCCATCACAATCTGGCAGCGCTGTCGCCATCGCTTGTCACTCAAAGTTGATCACGTGATCGGAAATTGTTTTGCGATTACCATACCAACTATTGCGCCGCCGTAAATACCCTGTATGGTATGAGCATCAGTCCCCAGAAAATAAACAAAATTCAATAAGGTTTTGTATGTAGGGAATATTTTTCAAAGAGAAAAATGCTGAAAAATTATGGATCATACCAAATAAACTTTTAGTCACGTGATTAAGTTTGACTGGCACAGTGTTGCCCACTTTTACATATTTTCATTTAATCTAAATATTGTAGAAAACAAAGATAAATTAATTATAAATATATAAACAGTTATTATTTACATCAATAAAACTCACCTCCTTAACAACACTTAAGGGACATAAATGACCATTACTACCCCTTTCCCGTTCAAAATATTCTAATAAGGTTGTGATGAGTTTTTTGCATCGGCTATTAAGCTATTTCGTACACTTTGCACTAAAATAGATTCTAAAAAGAACAATGTTCGACTGCAAGGTTTCCTAGTAAAAATGTTTAAGCTTAAAGTATCACAACACAATTTTCATTTAAACTAAAAACACGTAATACAAAACTAAAGTGTCAAAACGAATAACAATGTCAGGAAATAAATAAATAAATGTGGCAACTTGACATTTTTTACAGCAGAGCTACCACCTGAATTCCCAGCGGGAAATTTAAATTCCAGTTAGTCAACCCGGCACCGAATACGTCCTTGGTTGGCTACAGTGAATTTAAAAATGGCGCCATTGATGACATAATTAATAGTTTAAATGGTATCGCTTATATTTATTTTAGTATCATTTCGCTTCCACTTGTTAATTTGTTCTAAGGTAATAATTTTGAAAATATTGAATTTGGACAATGTGAAATGACGAATCTTTTGACGGACGAATGTTAGGGATGTGTTCTCGAACCCGTGTTCTTGTACCTTAGTCACTTTGCTTTGATGTGCCGTTATATTTCTTGGAAAAATGGTTCAAAAAACTGATATACACCAAAAATATTACGTGATATCCCATTCTAACATGTTTTGTATTATAAAATACAGAAATTGTACTTAAAAAACGGTATTTTATGACATACACACAAGTTTGTAAAGTCGTTGAACTGACAAAATAACGTTAAACAAAATATTTTTCAAGCACACATTCATTTTTAGTAAACAGACTTATAAAAACAAGACGCTAGATTTTTAAATTAACACTTTTAAGTGTAACACCGGATCTATTACTAGTAGTAAACATGATTAAAGTGGAGTAATTCAAAAGTAATACAAGAATTAACATAGCCATTAAAACATTAGCCACAAGCCACTCAATTAATGAGGTAATGAGTAGGCCGATTTTTTTTCCCGTGCCAAAGAAACATTGTTTACATTCCGCATGAAATAAATTCAACTGAAAAGGCAAAGATACCCCGAGGCATTTCCTTACATAAACATAATTATAATATATACGCGAATATAAAATAAATATCATATTATTTGCATTTTTGCGTGCCGGAATTTTTCCAAAATAATGCTAATTGGACTTTTGAAGGGGAATCGCCCGATTATTATATTTTGTTCGTTTGAAAAATTTGCATTAATTTGTCCTGTCAGATTTATACAGAGTGACTGAAAATATTCTAAAATGAAATGTATACCGGGTGCGTCTCAAAAGTGGCTCACCCCTATAACTTTTATTTTTTTAGATAAAATAACGAGACTTGGTACGTTAGTATATGACATAAATCAGGATTGATTTTCGTTTTCAATTGTTTTTGGTCACTTACTGTTTTACTCGGTATTTTTTTACTTTATTCGATAGAAAATGACATTCTGAATAGAATGACATATCATATGTCAACTTTTGAAATTCTCACTTAATAAAAAATCGTATTTTAAAATTCAATCTAGAGTGCCATGGCTATGTTAAAAACACTATTTCTTAATCAAGGAGCCTTGAAAAAATAGATTTGATCGTCTAATGTTTATGGTGTCTTGTCCTGGCCAGTTAGAGAATACTCAAATCGTATTTTTAATCATATCTCAATTTTTTCAACTGAAACGAGGGTGGATCATTAGCATATTTGGAAAAAGAATTTTTTTACGAATAATTTGATACCACACACTTGGTATTTCAAGTCAAATTTTCGTTACGAACCGCAAGTTATAATTTCAAATAAACCATATGGGAAAATGTCAAAAGTTGGCATATGATATGTCATTCTTAACAGAGTGTTATTTTCTATCCAACAAAGTAAAAAAAAATACCGAGGGTGCCATTTAAAAATCAAAAGTTGTAGTCATTTCCGGTGAAACAGGAAGTGACCGAAAACAATTGAATACGTCAATCAATCCTAATTTATGTCATACTAACATACCAAATCTCATTTTTTTAACTGAAAAAATAAAAAAAATTATAGGGGTGAGCCACTTTTGAGACGCACCCGGTATATATTTTTTTACAAAACTTTAGTTAAGTTAACATTTTATCACCTTGCTGTATGATTTCGAAAAAGTCCAATGTTGTCTGAGTCTCTAAAATAAACTTCGACTATTCTTGCAGAAGAATTTTTAGCGGGTCTTGTGAATAGTTCACCTTGTATCCCGAAATAGATCGAAAAATTCGATGACTCTTTAGTTCTTTTTTTCTTGTCAACCTTGTCTGTAAAATGTAGGCACACACTAGCGATTTTTTTGCATATACGATCCCAGCAAATGGATATGACATTTGTGTTTATCGATCTTAACAGTTTCACCCACATACCAACAATTTAACTCTTTTATTTTGCCATTTGAGTATGCTAATTTTTATAACTATGCCTAAATTTTGTCGTTATGTCTTCTTAAAATGTCAAATAAAATCTCACAATTAATCTTCCTATCTTGAACTATCCCAATATTTAAAAATGTATATATATTTTTTTAACATAATTAACCATACTTTAAATTTTAAAGAAATTAAATGAGCGACTAAATGTTTGTATTCTGGTCTAAGATCCTCAACTAGGTTATTATCTCTTAGAAAATAAAGGATGTACCAGAGAGATAAATATGTCTCAGCATTAATATGAATCCATAGAAGAAAAAACAATTAACTTTTTTATAAATATATCAATATATCTGTTTTCAATTGATTGTGGAGATCATGAGAAAAAAATATATGTATTTATATGAAAATACTCATAATTATGAATAAACAAAATAGATACAATAACTATTATAATACACTCCCACGTGGTCATTATTTTTTCATGTCTTGTGTATTGATAGTAGAAAACTAAATAACACAATAGTAATTTCGTTGACTGCATATGTTACTTCTTTTAAACACCCTTTAAACACAATATTACAAATATAATGATATTAAAAAAATAATTAAATTTAAGTAGGTAGGTATACATAATATATCTCAAATTAAATTATCGAATAAGTCAACGTGAAATAAATCAACAAGCTTTACATTATCACATTTACATATATTTCGACAGATAATTTTAAATACAACAGCAAGAAAATGCGAAATTAAAGAACCAAAGCAAAAAGAACCCAAAAGTACCAGCACCAAATAGAAAAACCCTTCGCAAGACTCACCACTAGGAACACTGGTATGTTGAGATCGACGACCCCTTCTCTGGTGCGAAGGCTGCAGTCCTGGGGCACTAGCAGCCCTCTTGGGCTGGGTCGGCATAAGCCTGGAGAACCCTGGAGGACGATATCTGGCACTCTTCGCGTTCTGAGGCAGGAAATGGTGACTTTGAGCTTTCTGTATCGAAGCTAAGGAGGTAGTAGGGAGTCTGGGTAGAGAGTTCGTTGTTTGAGGTCCGCTCTGCATGCTCCTGGGTAGAGTGCTGCGGTTTTCCAAGTCGTCATCTTCGTCTTCCCCATCTGCGGAAGCTCCAGATCCGCAGGAGGCTGCGTCTGGAACGCTAGACCTGCGCCTACCGGGTCTGGAGGCTGGAGCTACCCAGAGCTTGTCTTCGCTATTTCCTCCTCCTATACTTCCACAACTTCTCACTCTGTCTAACTGTTCTCTGCTTAAAGATTTGTGACTGAACAATAAATCTCCTGCAGATCTTCGCTTAGCTGCGATAGCTAAGGCAGATGCCGAAGCCGAACCTTCACCACCTATTAGAGATAACTTGTTGCGAGAATCGGTAGCTAAAAGAGCCGATTCGAAGCTACCTCTCCACGAGAACCGTTCACAATCACTAGCTTCGCGTTCTTCGGAAATTTCAGATGCACCTCCTATCGACTGGTTTTTACCGGCATCGCCCATCAGAAGATCGTGAGATCGACTTCGCGGAAGTATATTGTAATTCGACATGGATTCTTCAACGAAAGTATCGGGTAAGTTTGTATCCGATGTGCTGTCCTCATCCGTAGTTGTCGTAGAAGCGTTGCTAAGTTTCTGCTGAAGACGTCGATGATATCCGCGTGCTTTGGGGCTATTAGAAGCGTGACTTTCCCCGCTGGACACCTCGTGCATCAAGGCAACCAGCCTGCTTCCGATGTGGTGCATCACCTTGGCAATGAGAGGCGGCGAGTTTGGACCCGACACACTTTGCGGGGGATCTTCCGTGGCCATTTTCTCGAAACTAGCTACCAATTTTTGGTAAACTAGGGCAGTTTCTTTGTTTATACCATGCCCGTCTTCAGCTATTCCACCATCGCCAGCATCTCCTTCCTTATCATCAGCACTCGAGTCGAATTTATTAATAATCTGCTGACAGCTATCCGAAATTTGCTGTTGCAGAGCTGATTTCGAGGAGGTTCCTTCCAAATCGCTGCTAGTATAATCGCTGGAGTCGTATGAATCGCTCCACGTGTCCTCGCTACTTAAATATTCTACAATTTCCCTGACCTGATCGTCTCTGATTCCAGGCACGGTTTTCATGAGTCTGGTAAGTTCGTTTTCGAAATACACTAATTGGGGAGGCTTACACCGGCCTCTGCCTCTCGGTAGAAGTCTAGGGGAAATTCTACCTCCAGGCGTGGGAGTTGTGGGTTTGGAAGAGGAAGAAGAGTTAGCTGCCACCATAGTTTTGAAAAACTGACGCATTTTGCACATCATCAGGTTGGTTTCTTCGTCCGAGCTCCAGTTATTAAAGCTGTCTTTCCTCGTGAGGTTCGTTGCCGGGGGATATGATTCAGTAAAGATCTTTTCTTCCCGTTTTTCCGTGAAAACATCAGAGCTTTTCTCGTGAAGCAAGCTGATATCGGGTGATTTATTTACATCCCGTTGGTCTTTGAGAAGATCGTCGCAGCTACCAACGAACCCGCTGTCTCTACTCTGCTGGTTTTTATTCGTTGTTAAATTCGAAGGCATCGGAAGTACTTCCGGTTGGGGTGTTTTGTTTCTGTCATCATCCTCGTCGCTCAGTTCCTGCTCTTCTTGGGTGGTTTCCAGGTTTTTCACGTCCTCCAAACTTGCTTTCTGTTTTTTGCCTTTCTTCCGTTTCACTGTGTCGAACTGACCGTCCGATTTCTCGAAACCTAACACTTCATCGTACGCGTCAGAGTCCGAACTCGAAGCCGCAGCCTCCGAATTTTGCGCGTCCATTTGCTGGTCGCTTCCCGCGAGGTCCGGGTTCGCTAGGAGATTATCCAGGGAACTGGAGTGAGACCTACCGGTTCCTCTGGCGCGCACCAATCGTTTTCTTCTCTGTTCTGGACTGGGACGTCCCTCGCTGTCACTGCCCACACTTCCATCCGAGTCTCTTCTCTCTGCTGTGAAACCCATGAAGCCGCTTAGGAAGTACTTTTCAAGCCTCGACGACGCAAGCTCTTCTGAGTTATCGTTCTGGTTATCGTCTCCTCCCCCGAGAGACTCCATGCCTTCCGAATAAATACTACTAGTCTCAGAAAAGGCATCTTCCCGATTGGAGTTAAGGGAGGGTACAGTTCCATCACCTAACCCGAAGAAAAAATACTTCTCCAGGTCCGTAGCCGAAGCAGGTCGTTCTTTTCGTGTTTTTTGGGGAGCTTGTTCGACTTCGCTCTCCTCGCAGCTCTCCTCCACGATGGTGTGGAGGGTGAAGTCGATGGGACGGTGGTACCCTCGTAGCTCGTCCTCCTGGTCGATGGCTGCCGAGCATGTTAGCGTGACCTCGTCGCCGGACGAGGAGTTTTCGGAGATGGAGTTGGTGGGAAAGTCGTCTTCCTCCTCCTCCTCTTCGCCGCTGAGGTTCTCCACCCAGGAATCGTCGTCGGCCAGGCCTTCCTCGAAGGCGCTCAGGGTCTCGGGGGAGGTTATCACAGTCACGTTGCTTTCGGAATGGGTTTGGTTCGGTTTATCTGAAACAAAGTAAAAATGGAGGTTAAAAAGGGTGTAATAAGATCATAAAGCTTAAAAATGTCTGTAGCAGTAATATAGTAGTAGTAATATTAATATATAGTTTTAATCATCTGCTGATGGTTAGCGAAACTCGCGTTAACAAAAGATTGAGGATTGTAAATTCTTCAAATAGATAACTATACAGGGTGGGTCGTAAATAAGTGCAAATATTTTTAGGGGTAGTATTCCACCCCAGAAACACGATTATTTTTACGCGAAAAACATTATATTTTTAGTTAAAAACATAATTTCTCGGTAATATGGCAATATAGGTAATAGATTAAATCTACAAGAAAGAAAATCCAGAAAAGATACAGTGGTTCTCAAAATATATTTTTTGCTCTTATTTCTGAGAAACTCTGTATAAGTATTTAATACAGACAAGACCAGAAGGAATAAAAAAAGTGAAATTCTTTAAAATCGGTTCAATAAGGTCCGTTTTTGATGGATGGATTCGGTACAGCGGAGAAAGTACCGCAGATGCGGATCTGTTTTTCAGTCGGGCCTGTGTTCTATGCATTCTCTCTGCAGAGCGCAAGCGGTACTATGTGAGAACGAATTCAATTGTACCTATATCGTACGCCCACCTCGGTGATGTATAGATAAATAAATCTCGAAAAACAACATTTATGCTTGTATTTGCGATTAACAGGTTTATCCGGTTCAATATTAGAGTTTAATATCATACTCACATAACACAATAATTCAGTCACAATAATTGTATCATAATGTATGATTTAATATACGAAACATAAACTAAGGGTCGGCATTTCTGGTCTTGGGTGCCGATTTTCGTGTGTACGAAGAGTACGATCAACACGCTTAGTAAAATAAGATGTACTGAATAAAGACAGAAGGCAAGTATTTTTCCAAACGTATGGAATCTAGCGTCAAATTAAGTGATTATGTAATAAATTCTTCGTATTTTTGCTCTCTCCGACTTACTAGATCGCCATAGCGATTCACTCCTATACATGTAAACGCCGACCCAAGGTTTCGCTTGCCAGCAGGGTATAGTTATATACTCTCCCCCACTTAATTTCTAAGAATTCTCTTTTCTATAGCATATCCGAACATCCTGTAAGATAAGCGTTTCATTTGACACTTGTTGAACATCTTTTAATACGATAAAAAGCGTTTCAAAGGCTTTTTGTTAGTTTTTATAAAAAAAAAACAAGCTTCTTTTAACGCTCCAGTTATTCTCGCACGCGCTATACCCTTCCACAGGTCGATATAACTTTCTATAAATAAACAAGCTTCAGGTGGTGACCTAATCGTATTTGTTTTACGCGATTTGTGCAGAATTTCGCAGGAACCATATGCCTGACACGCCATGGTGTCAAAAACCTCCGCTATAATATCAAGGCTGGCGAATGTCCCTCTAGTAACCTTGATAATACAGTAAAACTTCTCTATTTCTACCTTCCTTAGATTAGATTCTTCAAGGTGGCTATCAGCCTGTCCCACTGTTACCTTTTCAGATGTATTGTGGTCCTTCTGAACCTAAGGTTACCTTCTCCAGTCCTATCCCTTTCAAAAAATCTAGCTACTTGGAGACTGAACCCTCCATATAGCTCTTTATCAAGGTTCTTCAGATTGGCAGAACCTTTTCGAGTAGTTTTTTTAATAAACTTTTAATTTAGACTTTATTAATTGTCTTTATTTGTTGTTAGTTGTTAGTATTTCAATTGTTAGAGTTTAACAGTGATTTAAAAAATATTGTAATTAATGAAACTGACAAAATCGTGCAAAATCAAACAGTTATGAAATAGTGATAAATACATTTGTGATTCTGCGTTAGATTTTCAATTTGATTCCAGGAATATAATAATTTTAATCTTTTTATCTTTGATGATATCAATTCGAAGTATAAACAAAGATTACATGGCACTAAAGTATAACTGATAAGATTAGAAAAGAATATCATACTTTTTACATATAAAAGATTTAATTTGAACAGCATATCTTCGTTATTTTTGAGCAGAACATATGTTCTATAATAGACCATCTTCTTCTTCTTCTTCGTCGTCTCTTCATATCTGAAGAATCGTGACATTATGGCTATGTGCAGCTGGTGATTTTGATCTTCCACCGTTGGCGATCTTCCGCCTTTCGGAGATTTGATTGAAATGGATGACCTGTAATATTTGCTATTTGGTCAAGCCATCTTGATGGTGATCGTCCTCTAGGTCATCGGTCTTCTACTTTGCCTTGTACTATGAGTTTTTCAAGGTTGTCTTCACCTTTGCGAGTGATATGACCGAAGTATTGCAGGATGCGTCTACGGCAGATGGTGGATAATCGATCTGTAATGCCGAGTTCATCGAGAATTGACTGGTTCGTTCTTCGAGCTGTCCATGGGATACGGAGCATTCTCCTCCAGCACCACATCTCAAATGCATCTATACGGTGTCTATCAGCGCTCTTGACGGTCCATGACTCAGACCCGTATAGGAATATGGAGAACACCAAAGATCGAACAAGGGTCTTTTTGGTGTTTTTAGTTATGTTCCTATCTGCACATATTTTTCTTAGGCCCATCATAGCCATTGCTATACGCCTTCTTATCTCTGCTTCACAGACCCCATTATATAGACCATCTTATTACAGTAAATATTGTCTGTATGAATTTTTTTGTTAAAACTTCTAAAATGTTCTTTAATCCTCCATTCCAAAATATCATTCAACTTTATCCATATATTCTTAGTTTTACAAATATCAAGAAAATAGAACATAAAAGAAAATACAACGAAAAATTCAAGGTCTGTATATACGTCATTGTTATCGTTCGTATTATGATATTAATAATCAACATTTTTCTAGCATTCTTGATGAACAAAGGGAATAGGTACCTAAACAAATGAATAATTGATTACTTAGGAAAAAAAGATACCTAAATGATGAGACTGTGATTTCTCATTTCAAAACATAATGACTTTCAATTTTTATTACAAATGTCAATCCGATATTTTTAAAATTTCATCTTACGTGTTTGTCTCATGTTCTTTTGTGAAAAATTTGTGCTTGGACTTGGTGAGACTGTCTTTTTATCAATGCAAGACTGCAAGACCAAAAATATGTGCGATGGAACGTATAAAGTGCATGATTTGCGAAATTTATATCATAGAATGTTTTGTCTGTTTTTGTTATTTAACTTTAATTTATGTAATTCCTAACTTCCTTGCTTTTAACGTAAATAGATATATTTATTAACTTTAACACTATTTTTATGGTTTTATGGGGATCATAGAACTACGCCAATGAAGTTCTTTTTGAAATTTACCTGTAAATGAACTGAAATAAAACTACTTCTTATTTTACGACAATAATATAATAAATTTATAACCGAGGTTATAGCTATATATTTTCCGGTATTCTCAAAATATGCTAATAGTTCCTGTAATTCCTTTTATAGAGCTCTTTCTATCATTATTCTCTATTTCAAGTCCCCAAATGTTTGAAAATACATTTAGGTATGACAGACAGTTATTTTACGACAGACAATTACAAAATTATTAAGAAAAAGTGACGATTAAAGAAAATAATATATAAAAAAAAATGTTTGGATAAAAAGGAAGGTGTAGAGATGCCCACGTATAGGCGATACCAATTAAACTTTTAGTTACGTAATCGAGGGCCCGAATTTTAAATTCATTGTTACCAACCATGGAAATATTCGGCGCCGCGCTGACTAACTGGAATTTAAATTTCCCGCTAGGGATTAAGGTGGTAGCTCTCGCTGTAAAAAATGTCAAGTTGCTACATTTATTTATTTATTTCCTGACATTGTCATTCATTTTGACACTTTAGTTTTGTATATTACGAGTTTTTGGTTTAAATTAATTGTGTTGTGATACTTTAAGCTTAAACATTTTTACTAGCAGACCTTGCAGTCGAACATTGATCTTTTTAGAACCTTTTTAGATTTAATAGGCGCTGCAAAAAAAAAATAATGGCAACCTTATTAGAATATTTTGAACGGGAAAGCGGTAGTAATGGCCCTTTTTGTCCTTTAAGTGCTCTTAATGAGGGGAGTTTTGTTGATGTAAATAATAACTGTTTATATATTTATAATGAATTTATTTTTGTTTTTGAACAATTTTCACTGGTGAACTAATACCTGCACGTTACGTGTAGTAAACCAATCAATTATGATGTTCACTACCATACGTTATCAAACAAATTGCGCAACACAGGCTGTTGCGCAACGAGTTGCCAATTTATGGTAACGTTTGATGCGTTGCGCAAGTGTTTGATAAGTTCCAAGAATGTTTGAATTCTTTTGTGCAACGGGACTGTTTGCGCAGCGTGTTGTGTAGTGTATGTGTGTGTTGCACTTCGTTGTGCAATATTTTAGTTCTTTAATTCTTTCATCCAAATTCTTTGTTTTCTTTTTCGCTTTTTGGTATGATCGACATCATCTAGGGTATATACGATAATTATTGACGCAATGGCAATTTAGGACATGATTGTTTCTCGAATAATGCACAACTTTTAATAAAAAGTTTGTCCAGAATTTTACTAAGTGCATGTGTGATGCAGTTGTGCAACGGAACGTTGCGCATCGCTTTGTTGCGCAACTTGTTTAATAGCGTATGGACAGCTGAATCAGTTGTGCAAAGCAACGTTGCGCATCGCTTTGTTGCGCAATTTGTTTGACAATGTATGGGCCGCTTTAGAACTAACTGATTAGTATCATTTCTTGCATTTTTTTCGGTTTTATTTACAACTTGCCAAAAATACTTAGGATGCATCAATTTGTTTTAGGCGTTTCTGTAGCGTAGTTGGTATTTTTGTTATCAAATATTTATTAACTACTTTTATCGACAAAAAAAACTAACAAATCATTGAGTCTACCCTATATTATATCTTTATATATAGAGTTCGAAGAATGCCTTTCCTCAGTCGCCGATTTCTCAGACTCGAGCGCAAAGCAGAAAGCGTAATAAAGAATCGACACAAGGCAAAAAAACGACCAAAACAATAAAATCGCGCACCGACCGCCTCGACGAATAGAACGTTGCGAAAGCCATAAAATGCAGACGTAGTCAAGCAGAGTACCAACCAACGTGGTACCAGCCATCGGCGGATTACCATAGCGTGGTACCGCGAACGACAAAGAAAACGCGAACCCGTGTAACGTAACCCATAATGTCAAGGCTGCACCGCTTTGCCCATATAGCCAGAACCTTTGCACAGCTTTTGTCGTCGGTTACTCATCAACCGGATATGTCCGCCCTAGCCCAGTAAAATGGTCCGAATTTTTAAAAGCATTTTCAAATTTAAAATAGATTATTTGAATTGTTTTTTAGTGTGGTTAATAGAGCTAGTTATCTAAGTTCAAGTAAAACGGACCGGCGCACAGTGATGCCGAAAACGCGAAAAGTGGCAAAAAATAATTTCTCAACTTACTGCTACATTTTTTAAAATTATTTTTGTTAAATGTGGTTTTCTAAGTGTATAAGTGATGTTTGGAATTCAGAAAATTTAATTATGTATACAGTGTATACTTAAATTGGCTGTAAAAAATAAAAAATGGGTTGTAAAAAATTTAATTATATTATTTTGTCTTCAATAGCATATTAATTTAATACTCTATTCTTTGTAAAGTTTAAAAAATCAAAAAAAGTTTGTGTAAACACATTATTAAATATACAGGGTTTTATTTTCAGCTCCTTACAATAGAATTAGCATTTCGTTTTTACTATAATTAATCCTTTTTTCAGAACTAGTTACCAATAAGTATTACTTAAATTCAAGATATTGACATTCGTTTCCACGAGAAAAAAAAAGAAAGTAAATACATCTGTATATTTTATTTAATTAGATATTAATGAAAGTAACACCCTTGATTAAGGGTAACACCAAAACATCTAAAAGACTGAGCGCTCTTTTCGCATTAGATGTAAGCAGTTGTTCACTTACAACCATTTAATTTTAGTTATATTTTTAAATGTTCTATAATTTAGAAATATCTGTAATTACCTGTGGTAAAAATATTATACTTAGATGATAATTAGAACTTAGTTACAAGAATTTAATACACAAGAAAAAGAAACTAAAAATTATCCTAAAGCTTCTAGATAAGATGGATAATATATTTAAGATGGATTTAGCAAATGGATAAAAAAATATAATAATTTAATCTATAATAAGTTTTGGAACCTCAGGATGCTGTTCTATTTTACTTGACAGGAGAAGTCTTGGTGATCTCTTACTATATCCGAGAAAATTAGTATCTAGAAGGTGCTTGACATTCTTGATAAAAGTTGTTGAATGAATATTGACGCATGATAGACACATTGACACGTCTTTTTAGTTTATATTAACAATAATTATTCAAAATTAATGAGATTTCTAATAATATTAAATTTAATGTCATATAAGCACAAAACGAATAAAAACTTAGGCTTAACAGGGAAAAGCTAGTTAAAATTACACAATAAAAAGTATTTTTAAATTTGAATACTCTGCATATATTGAAAATTAAATTGAATAAGAGAAAATATATTACAGTTTTCTTTCTTCAACTAATTAAAAATAACCAACAACAATATTTTACACCTAAGAAACACCCAGTAATATACTGTCAGACGTAATTTATTTTGGGAAACTAAACCATGGTTTTCGGGAGAGTTAGGCAACCTAAAGGGTATTTGTGGGCTAATGTTGGTCATGAAACTTCGTAGTTATGAAGAAAAAGGCTAATAATTGTAACCTACATCATATTTTTTTGGAGCAATTTGGAGCATTTTGTATTAGCTTACATAAAATGTGATTTTAGATTAAGCAGTTCTTAATTACATCAAGGATTTTATTGATTTTTTTTATGGTACAAGGGAAGTTAAAACTAGAATTACCATGAAGAAAAACAGTTGAAAACATTGTACTTTCTCAGAGTACCATCAGTTTTTAACTAATTTATCACCAATGTTAAACGCACTAATTTTATTTAATCAAAATTTAATCAAAATATTTTAGCTTCAGCTAATAATTTTACAAGCTCGAACATTTCTTATCAGGGATTAATAATGGGCCCGTTTTCATTCAAAAATCTTCACGATTCTGAAAATATAGGAACTATACGAGTGAAATTATAATTAAAAAAAATTACTTTTGATCTTTTGATTTTCTGCCGCTTTTGGGAACTTCTGCATCACTGTGCGGCGAGACTGACAGGTAAAATGTGATGTGTAGGAGGAGCTTTACACTGTATACTGTTAAATTTATCTGTTGCAGAAAACATTTTGTTGACTAGGTCCCAAAAAAATCCTTAGAACTAATGAAACAATTATCAATGACTCAAGTGATGAAGAAAAACAGAACCCTTATGTTTGGGGTAAATTTCACTTTTGTATTATTTAGAATTTTGTCACACTCAGTGTAATAACATTAGTTTATTTGAAACTAATAATGTCATGCTTCAGTATTTAGAGAACATTACAAAAATTTATATGAATGAAACAGCAAAATTCAAAACCACTGTTTGAGAGAGAAAAAATAAATTCCTCGGCTTTCTCGTGTACATGGCCTAGATTTAAATAATAAAGAAGTTACCATGCGAATACCATTCTTATAATAACTAACGATACGTATATAAGTACCATGTAGCATAGAGGCAAATAAATGTACAAAACAGGAAATAAATAAAATAACACCAGCAGAATTTGCAAAAATGCCACAAGAAGCGGTATATTTCTCAAAATGAAAAAAAAACGGGAATGTATGACATATACAATAACAAAAGAATGTAAATTTTTAGTTGAAATTCAAAAAACTCCTCTATAAATAATTATTTCTGATATTTGAAGTTTATAAATGACGACGAAGAATGTTTAAGAGTTGTATGAGATTTGTATTAATTTATTTTGCAAAAAATAATGAAATATTTAATTAATAATGAACTATTTAGTATCTAGTAACTATTTAGTTTTGCACAATGAAAGTCTTACATGATTCCAATTATTATTATCTGTTAATAGTAATTTCATACTCATGAAGGGAAAATACAGTATTATTTGATACAACACATATTTACAAATACTAGTAATCCATTTTATAATCATGAAACTTTTGTAAGAATTTGGTATTTTTTTGCTTTAAATGTCATCATGTTATAACATCAGATAATAAACTGCGGAGAGTTATGTTTCATTTATTCCAACGACTCTTGAGAATGTCAAAAGGCTACACCTCATGCAACATTTAGTATTTTTTGTTTGGCTAACTTTCTGGCCAAGTGAAGTGTTACTGGGAAATGTGTCAACGTGTATTAACCATTGGTTATCTACACAAAACAAATATTTTGTTATTTAAGTGTTTTACTTCTTTTACAATGGGCTAGAAAAATATATTGACATACAGTCATTCTATTGTTAAACTACTAGAAACTAATTAGGTTAACTGATTAAAAAACAGTGTCGCAAATTCAATATGTTTACAACACCTACACAGATTATTTAATGGTAATATTTTTATTACTTTCTCAATTATGGATACTGTAAAATATACTACATTTCATAAAATATCTAAAAAAAATACTATTTCTCTTTGTTTACTACAAACATATATCAAAATAGTCGACAGTGTCACATATGAAGTCCCCACAATATATGGAACTTTTTTATTTATTGGATTAGGTGAAATTTGACTTAGTTAATAGATTATATTAAGAAAATTTACTCTGTTGTCCTCGGGTATCTGTCAAATTTGACATTTAAAGTAATAAATGGCTAAAAAATAAGTTTCTTGGCCAAATTTCGAAAAAACCTTTTTGCGTAAATATTTCAATATTTTCACCCAACTTCATCATCTAGATGAAACAATTTATTTCATTATTTTTAACCAATAGCAACCGATTCTCGTGATAGGAGTCCGTTTGTCATTCAAATATTTATCTAGTATTCATATATTTAGTTCAATGTATGTACTATTACTATGTATGTATTCATATATTTAGTTCAATATATAGTACACCTATATAAAATTAAAAAAGAGACAACTATGTGTTAATTCTACCAGCAAACCCATTTTTACCAATTTGTTATTTTAAATGTCAAATTGACAGATACCCGGGGAGGCAGGTATCATTTCCTTAAGTCATTTTTACTCTAAATCAAAGCAATTTCACCTAAGCCAATACGTAAAAAATGTACCATATGATGCGAACCTTATAATCTGCGACACTGTATAGTATACCTAGAATATTATTTATCGTATTGAGGTACTCACCAAAGGGACTAGGACGCGTTGCATGGCGCTCTTCGCGGTTGGTGTGCCTCACCACCACGACGTCACGCGCGGCCGCTGACACCACGTTCACCTGTTGCGACGCCGATTCATCGTTCCTTATCATCACTAGACTGGTGTAGCGGACACCATGGCGCGCGCTCGACGGCTCGCCGATCACTGACGGCGGCGGAAGACCACCTGCGCGCACCTCCGCACCGGCTCTCTCCGTCTCCCTCTCTCGCACGCAGCTTGCCTCCTCTCCCTCGCCCGTCGCGACGCACTGCTCTTTTTCCGCGTCGCTGGAGCTCAGCGTCTCGGCGCTCACGTCGCTCAGGCCCGGACTCGACGAGTACACCACCGGAAATTTCGGATTATTGTTGCTTACTTCGTTTGTTTCGTTATCACAGTCTTCCCGTTCAGCGTTTGATGAGCTAGGTTCCTTCTCGAATTCTTTGGTAAGATTTACCTCTTCCTCTTCCGATTCACTCTCGTTATTTTCCTCCACTTTACTCTTCGTGCCCTTTCTTCTAGTTCTAGACTTTCTCCGACTCTCGTTGACCTGTCTTTTACTCTCTTCAAGATGTCTAGCACCCTCAACTTCATCCATATTCTCCTCCGAATCAGAGTTTGATGAGCTAGGTTTCTTTTCTAATCCTTTCGCTAGCTTTATCTCTTCCCCTTCATCTCCTTTACTTTTTTTACCCTTTCTTCTTCCCCAAGACTTTCTCAAACTCTCATTGACCTGTATTTTACTCTCTTCATCCTCTGCAAGATGTCTAGTACCCAAAAAACTAGCACCTCCAGCATCTTCGTCATTGTTATCAGCTTCCTTCACATTCTCTTCCCAATCAGTCTTTGATGAGCTAGATGCCTTCTCTTTTGCAAGCGTTATTTCTTCCTTGTCTGTTTCACTCTCGTTATTTTCCTGGACTTGACTCTTTGTACCCTTCCTTCTAGTCCTAGACTTTCTCTGACTCTCCTTGACCGGACTTTTACTCTCTTCATACTCCATAAAACTGACACCTCCTCTAGCAACCTCATCAGCGTTCTCGTTTTCATTCACTCTCTCATCCGAATCAGCGTTTGATAAGCTAGGGTCCTTCTCTAGTTCTTTGGCAAGTTTTACCTCTACCTCTTCCTTTTTACCCTCGTTATTTTCGCTGTCTTTATTCTTTGTGCCCTTTCTTCTAGTCCTAGACTTTCTACGAGACTCTTTTACCGGTCTTTTACCCTCTTCATCATCATCAAGATGTCTAGTACCCAAAAAACTGGCACCTTCTTCAATTCTCTCATCATCATCTATATTCTCCTCTGAATCAGCGTTTGATGAGCTAGGTTTCTTCTCTAATCCTTTTGCAAGCTTTACCTCTTCCTTTTCCGTTTCACCGTTATTTTCCTGGTCTGTACTCTTTGTGTCCTTTCTTCTAGTCCTAGACCTTCTACGAGTCTCTTTGACCGATCTTTTACCCTCTTCATCCTCAGCAAGATGTCTAGTGCCCAAAAAACTAATGGCACCTTCTTCAATTTTCTGATCTTCATCCACATTCTCCTCTAAATCAGTGTTTGATGAGCTAGGTTCAATATTCTTCTCTAATCCTTTCGCAAGCTTTACCTCTATCTCTTCTGTTTCACTCTTGTTATTTTCTTCGAATTTACTATTTTTACCCTTTCTTCTAGTCCTAGACTTTCTACGAGTTTCCTTGATCGGTTTTTTACTCTCTTCGTTCTCCGCAAGATGTCCAATGTCCAAAAAACTGGCACCTTCACCAGCAACTTCATTCAGCTTCCTCCAAATCAACCTTTGACGAGCTAGGTTCCTTCTCTAATTCTTTGGCAAGCTTTACCTCTTCCTCCTCTGTTTCACTCTCGATATTTTCCTCTACTTTACTCTTTTTACCTTTCCTTCTAGCCCTAGACCTTCTACGAATTTCTTTTACCGGTCTTCTACTCTCTTCATCTTCCCCAAGATATCTAATACCCAAAAAACTAGCACCTCCTCCAACAACTTCATCATTATTTCCATCTTCCTCCACATTCTCCTCCGAATCAATTTGCTTGATATTGGTCAAAACCACACTGCAATCCAGTTCCAAATCGGTATCGTTATCGGAACTGTCGGTGTCGCCGTTAGAGGACGTGACGCTACCGCTTGAGTCTTTGTGGTTGACGACGAACACTCGCGAGAAATGTCGGGGTTTCTGGTCGGCAACGGTGCCGGTGTCGTTGCTGTCGGTGTCGGCGGAGCCTGAGGAAGTGTCGTCTTCGTCTTCTGCTTCTTCTTCGCGTTCCTGTTCGTCGGCCGAGGATTTGGCATCGTCGTCGGAGGAAACCTCGCTGCTGGGTAGAGCATCGTCGCTTTCGCGGGTTGAGGGTGGGCCTGTAACGTTGTACACCCTGCGAACGCGAGGTCGGTCGCCTTCGTCGGCGCTCGAGTCGGTAGAGGAGGACTCGGACGCTGAAGAACCTCTGAAACGGAAAATAAAATATAAATATTACATACATGTAATATATATACAGGGTGGTCCGAGCTGTATTCCGGAAACTTCGGCAGCATATTATGCAAATAAAAATCAGTAAAAATGTTTGTATAAATGGATATCCTAAAATGCTTAGTTTCGGAGTTACATCTGCAGAATATCCTGCCGAAGTTTCTGGAATACAGTTCGGACCACCCTGTATAGTTTCAATGTAGTATTGGTAAACGTTTCAATTTTTATATTCAGATATTCTTGTTGTTTTTAAGGACGATTTCGTATAAAACAAACAACATACAAGACAAAGTCAGACGTTTAAAATAAACGTGTCTGCTAAAGACTAAAGTATTCTGGGTAAAAAACTAAGTTTTTTTTTGTATAAAAGACAATCGAATTTACTTCATTTCAAAAAATTTGCTTACTTTTAATACAAATATCTAAAAAAATAATACGATTTAAAAATTTGCAAAAAGATTGTAAAGAAAATGCAACAAGCTTTGTAACTAAACCATTTAGAAAAAAAAGGAACTTGAGAGTAGTTTTGTTTATTTTTTTAAAATCATCAAAAATTTTGCTCTTTAATTCATTATTCATTCACGCATTCTAGATAGGACAGTGACTTTTTCACAAAAGGCTATCATTTAAAAAATACCGGGCAGTACCAAATATTTTAAGTAAACTAAAAAAATCATGAATAATCCAATAAATTAATTTTAAAATCAATTATTAAGGAACTAGGAAAAATATAAGTACCTATTTTCACACTCCAAATGTCCTCTAGGCTCTTCCTCCTCTTCCCCTCTATTATCCTCTTCCTCATTCTCCACCCCCTCTTCATCCCCACTTTTCCCTTTATCCTCCCCTTCCTTCTCTCCGATCATCGGCTTCTCCAAGAACCCCCACGGGAACCCGGGCATCTGACTCAAGTACTGCCAGAACTCCGCACCTCTGGCCCCCAAGTCAGGCATAGGCCGGTACAGGGGTACCTTCACCTCCCCCCCTGTACTACCCTGGTTGTTCCAGGGCACGGGGAACGGTATAGGCACCGGCACCGGTATAGGAATGTACTGGGCGCCGCTGTTGCCGCCGCACGTTTTGCAACAAGTCGAAGCGGTGGTCGGATGGCTGGTTCGGACTGTTTGCTGGCGACCGATGGCGCTACGGTGGAGACACAGAGGCGGGGTGCCGAGGGGGTTGGCGGGTGACTCGGATGGGGGACCGTCTTCGTCCGACGAGGCCCGTGGTCTTCGGTGCAGCAGAGGGGAACCTGAAAGCCGTAGAAAAACTAGGTCAAAATGTGTCTATGGATGAATACGTGGGTTAGCTGATAATTTAAAATATATTTTTTTTACCTAGGTGTGATACACGATAAGTAAATTCGTTTTATTCATATCGTTCTATATAAGTGACATTCACAAAACATCCTTCTTCAGAACATTTTCTGTAATGGCGATAATAGGAGTAAACGGTATAATGTGCGAACAAACACTAGAGACGCTATAGTTTGTCATTAAAATGTTAACAAATATTCCTTTGTTTTTTTTAAATATGTCAATATTTTTATTTCGTTGTGTTTTGTAAATATTCGGTGTTTGCCTTTGGCAATTTCCTCATTACTACTGGTGTATTTGTATTTATTTTACCAAGTACATTTTATTTTAATCATTCATATTTAATTGCAATGGCTTTTTCGACCGAAAACGCAAACCTGCGACAACAAAAATGGCATTTTTTTTCGTTTTCTAAATCCTCGAAAAGATTCGAATTGTTTTGCAAGTTTTTTTTTCAGTTTATAGGCATGTAAAATACATAATTTATAATAACATCAATAATTGTTTTATTTTTATAAACGTTTGATCGGGTATTGATATAAATATTTTTTTATTGTGACAAAATAGGTACCTATATTAAAATTAAGTTATATGTTATATATAAATTAAAAATTTTTATTGTAATTTTTAATATACAGGGTGTCTCAGAAATAAGCGCAAGTATTTTAACTGGTAGTATAGTTCAACCCCAGAAACACGCCTATGAGGTTTTTTTCGCGAAAATTCGGAATTTTTTGAAATTTTTTGGAAATTTTTTTAGAAATTTTTTTAGTTTTTATTAAAAAAAAATAATTACTTCATAATATGGCAACATATTTAGGTAGCAGATTAAATTTACAAAAAAGAAAATCCAGAAAAGATCCAGAGGTTCTCAAAATTGTAGCAAAATCTTTTTTTTTTGGAAATTTTCAAAGTAAAAGAACTCCGTTATTTTGGACTTATTTGAAAAACGATAAAGAGAAAATATGTTTCTTTTATCGCGATCTACCACACCTTAAAATACTTGCACTTATTTCTATGACACCCTGTATAATGTAATTTTAATAGTCGCTGATATGTATGGGAACGGTCGATTATTAGCTAAAATATAAGAGGTACCGCAAAAAGATAAATATAAAAGCTATAGGGTTTTAAAATATCTATTACCGGGTAAAACATTTAACTATACATGGTCGGTCATAAAGTCGTGGCACATCAAAGTTTAATTTTTTTAAATGGAACCTCCTGTATATTATTGCCATATTTCGGTTCTCCCTCCAATTAATTAAATTATTAAGCAAAAATCTAGATATCTATCTAGATACACACAATGTACTTTAAACCGACCGTTTCCGAATTATTGACTTTTGAAAATATCACTTAAACAATTCGATTTAATTAATTACGATGTGTTCGGTTTTATTTAATGATGCCGATCTGCGGAAACTGCGATACTTAAGAATATCGTATGATCGAAAAAAAAATGGTGTCCAGTTGGCTTGGAAATGACGATCGATGACATTTCCAATATAATTTTACATATAAAATGAAAGCGATCTTCATTTCATAGCCATCGCTGACGCCGTTTTTATACGATCATACGGTATTTGACATTAATTTTCAAGTTAGCGTTTATAGATCTATAAAATGAGATTGTATCAAATCTAGAAATTACAAAATTTTCATTTAACATTTCTTTATTTAGTTACTTTGCTTAGTACGAAATACAAAGTGGAAAAAAATAGTCGATTTTTTTTACCCACTCTACTCTACATGTTCTTCACCATACGCATTGAGGAATATCTCAAGGCATAGCCTGCGCTTACTTTTTGGCAGTTTTCAACCGGCCCCGGTAAATAAGCTTCGCCAACCACTAGTACGGCTTCGTTATGCAACACCGACGATTGTGGGTTTTCTCTCTCCCTACTTTATACGTATTCGTATTTTTTACGGTCGTCGATCCCCAAGATTACGTTACGCCTACCTAACACACACATATTAGACTATATAAATATAACCTACCTAGGGGAGAGTCCCCCACCGCCCCCCGCTTCCTGAAAACCGTCGGAGAGCCGAAAGGCGATGTCCAGCCGATGGCCGGGTGGCTTTTGGCTGCGGCACCGGGTTCGAAGTAGTCCCAGTCGCAGTCGTCGATCGGGAAACTTGAGGCTGATGAGCTGTCGTTGTCGTCCACCTCTTCTTCCTTGGAGGAACCGTCCGAATTCACGAAAACTAAGCGGTAGTCCTCACCGTCAGGTAGGAGAATGTCTTGGAGGTCCGGATCGGGAGGTCTTCTCCAACCTGTAGGATCATTAATAACAAGTAAAATTATTATTAATAAAGGTAATTTTCAAAATGAAAAAATAAATGCAAATAAAAACAAAAAAATAAAATAAAATAAAAAAAAAAATTAAGGGCGTGATTCTTGGACCTATTTTAAGAGAAAAACTTCATATTATGTATATATAGTGGAGTGCCCAGAGACGTTTACCTCGGAATTCAATTACTATGAATGTATTAATCTGAAACCTTCTGTATTGTGTTTTATAGATAAAATACTAAAATGTTTACCCATTTTTTTTTCGTTGCTTTTAATTTTTTATTTTAGTAATTTTAGTAAATTCTTAATTATTTCCTTCTTAATATTTTGATTTTATTAATTTTTTTTCTAAGTAAATTTATTGAAATAAATAAATCTAATAACATAAGCTATACCTATTCTGCTTATATTCTAATCATTGAAATTTTGATTGAAATCGAATTATACAGGGTGGCGCGTCATATACGACGCAGTTTTTGCAAGGAGAACAAACGTTTGTATTGAAGTGAAATTTTCTGAGCATATGTAGATTCTCGGGAATGAAGATATAGTCTTTATATCAGAAGAACCTAGTTCTGGCACTAGACTTTGCGAATGAACGAAATATGTATTCGAACAGCGAGTTTTTGTCACTTATACATAAATTTTAAAATAAATCCCTGCGTTTAGCGGTCAAATGGATTTACACGAAATTACTTGAAAAATCGGTCCAACATTTGAATTGATGAATAGATATTTTTATTATTTTTATATAGTTTTTTTTTAAATATTTTTTTTACAATTTTTCTTCGATTTACTATCTGTTATCGAAATATTTTTTCTAGTCTTCTAGGACACAGTTTTATAACTTTGAAGTTATTTTTTGATTTTATTATAGAGTTTCAATAAAAAATATTTTTTTTTTGATTTAAATCACATGATTAAAATTAAAAAAAAATCACTTGATTTAAATCATTTGATTTAATTCATGCCAACCCTGCTTCAAACCCACGAATTTTGACCACGACACACGCCAAGGTAGTTTTAATATTTTACCTTCGGCAAAAAAGATACTTATCACAGAGTTTCGGAATGACAATAGCAAAAACTATTTAAGTGATTTCAAAAGGTCAGTGTCCTTCAAGCGGAAGTAGAATAAGATCGTGACCGTGACGACCTTAGAGCGATGACAAAATCACAGATTCTGAAATCACAATACACTCCTACCTGTAGTGCCCGAACCACTATCACAACAACAAAAATATGTTTAATTGTAACAACATATACGTATGTATAAATATGTATATCGATCCAGTAACTAAAGATTCTACTGATAAAATAGTATTTGATAACAATAATGAAAAAATAAATGTTGATAATATGGCAAATGCGCTGGGATATTACAGCAAAAAGTAATATACTACAAATTTGTTGTACTTTTTTTCTGCAAACTGTAATTTTTATTTATAAAGAGGTCCAAACATCTTTCAAATAAAAAGTGTTTTAATGTAATTCTGTCAGTTACTGACAAAACTGACAAGTTCTAAAAAATTATTCTTCTACTACAATATTCCCAGTCAAATAACGTAAAAATCGCTATACCGGGTGCGTCTCAAAAGTGGCCCACCCCAATAACTTTTTTATTTTTTCAGATAAAATAACGAGACTCGGTACGTTAGTATATGACACAAATCAGGATTGATTGACGTATTCAATTGTTTTTGGTCACTTCCTGTTTACAACTTTTGATTTTTAAATGGCACCCTCGGTATTTTTTTACTTTATTCGATAGACAATGACGTTCTGAATAGAATGACTTCTCATATGTCAACTTTTGACATTCTCGGTTAATAAAAAATTGTATTTTAAATTTCAATTTAGATGTTAAAAACACTAATTCTCAATCAAGGAGCCTTGGAAAAATAGATTGGAGTGTCTAATGTTTTTAGTGTCTTGTCCTGGCCTGTTAGAAAATGCTCAAATCGTATTTTTAATCATATCTCATTTTTTACAAATGAAGCGAGGGTGGCTCATTAGCATATTTCGAAAAAAACATTTTTTTACGAATAATTTGATACCATACACTTGGTATTTCGAGTCAAATTTTCGTTACGAACCGCAAGTTATAATTTCAAATAAACCATATGCGAAAATGTCAAAAGTCGACGTATAATATGTCTTTCTATTCAAAGTGATATTTTCTATCGAATAAAGTGAGAAAATACCTAGGATGCCATTTAAAAATCAAAAGTTGTAGTCATTTCCGGTAAAACAGGAAGTGACCGAAAACAATTGAATAAGTCAATCAATCCTAATTTATCACATATACTAACATACCAAATCTCGGTTTTTTATCTGAAAAAATAAAAAAGTTATAGGGGTAAGCCATTTTTGAGACGCACCCTATATACTTTTACCACAGCGTATGCATTAGACAGCCAGTCGACTTTGGTTCATTTAGATGGAACTCTTGTATACAGTACGTCAATCCGTTGTGTAGTTACGGGGGAAACGAAATACTCTGTTGCCGAACAATTCATGGGGGTGCTCTAAATATTTTAAATAACATTATTTGCTTATGCAAAAATTTCAAAAATACCAAATCAGTTTAATTTTTTTCAACGTCTTCCAGGTAAATGAAACATAATCTTTATAAAAATTAAAAAATTAAGAAGAAAAACAATAAACAATTAATAAAATCACGGAACTATTTTACCCATAACGACTACACTGTTCTCCAAGCTCGGTCTACTACCGTTTTAATCGACCTTTCTCGTAAAAAAAATAGACAATGTCAATAAAAATTCGACAAATTTGCAAGTAAGTACTGATATACTCTTGCTGATATATTTTTTGAATTTTAAACTACATTTAAAAATCATTTTTACCCAATACAGGGTGAGCCTTAAATAAGTGCAAATATTTTCTGGGCTAGTAAATTTCGATAAAAGAAACATTTTTTCTCTTTACCGTTTTTCAAATAAATCTAAAATAATCGAGATAAGTATTTTATTTAGAAAATTAAAAGATTTTTTGCTATAATTTTGAAAACCACTGGATATTTTCTGGATTTTCTTTCTTGTAAATTTAATCTACTACCCATGTTGCCATATTATCAATAAATTATATTTTTTTAGTAGAAACTAAAAAAAATATTCAATTTTTTTAAAAAAATTCGAAATTTTCATTTATTTTTTCGCGAAAAAACCTCATAATCTTGTTTCTGGGGTAGAAATATACTACCCCTAAAAATATTTTCAATTATTTAAGACTCACCCTGTATAAAAATAAATTACAACCGTCTTAAGGTCAACTGGCAGCAAACGCCGCACGCAGTTAAAAAATAAAGAAGAGTGCGGGCCCAGAAAATGACGTCTAGGACTTGACCTGGCTAAAATTATCATCGATTGTCATTCCCAGCCGTCTTTGACGCCGCTTTTTTTTTCGATCGTTTGGTAGAAGTCGACTGGCTGTCTAATGAATAATCTGTGCTTTCACTAAAGAAATAAAGCTGCATGCTACTTTTCTATGTCACCTATAGTCTGTTCAACGAGAAAAGGGTTGATTTGGACAGACGACATCGACAAAAATTGACAGAAAAAGCATATGGCTTTTGTATTAAAAACCGTCGTAGCTGTCTAAATATTCTCCCGTTGGACAGACTGTACATACCTTTGAGTGCGATCCAAGCCAAACCCCTTACTACGGTGCCCATTTCCTTTAGGAAATAATCTAAAACTACCATTACCACCACCGCGATACCACCACCACTACTACAAAGCAGCACTTTTTCATCTCACCAACCCGATGTCACTATACTGAAACTAAACTATAATATGTGTTTAGCCGTGACAAAATACATCTACTACACATATTCCTGTTTGCATATTTTGTGGGAACATGGAAACATTGCAAAAATATGCAAAGTTACAATGAAGGTTCTTTTCGAGAAAAGATTCACGCTACGTTGCCAAATTGCTGAAGTTTTACCGAATAGAATTCGTTTCTTGGTTAGTTATATCCTTGTTATATTTTTCGGATACTGAAATTTTATTTTATTATTGAATGAAATTTAGATAAATTTAATGCAACCTGTAAATGTTAACAATGTTTAGTTGTACTAAAATATGTGCTTGTACTTTATATGCACTAAAAATAATTGCAATTTATTATAATTAATTATAAAATAGAAATTTTTATTTAAATGACCCAATTTGTTGAAACAATTTAGATATTACCTTGTGTAGCAAATAGTAAAAGTGGCAACATGGCCTCCACCACGCGCCCACAGTCCCAGGGCATGGGTGAAAATTATGGTCGTACCAGCGTTAATACAAGAAGAAATCGAAAACACTCTTGTGTTGCACAAGAAAATGAGTCACAGTCGAAGATGTGCCTTAAAAAGCGTTCATATTCGAGGTATTTTTAGTTTTGTATTTAATTTTTTCTTATTTTTCGATATAAATCTTCAAAACTTGTCAAAACAGTAGATTTTGGAAAAATGTCTATACCCCTGCGGCGGATTCATCTCTTCAAAAAAATCCTATATTTTCCTATATGTTGATGAGGACCTTGGAACCATTGTCATTGACAAATAATTTAAATTGACTAACAATAATTTTAGAGAGGTTATTTTAACAAAGAACAATTGATTTGAAGTACCTACTTTTCAGCTTGTCTTTATAAATATATTATTTTAAATTTAATCATATGGAAATTCCCAATGAAACACTTAGTGAGAAAATAGAAAAATTCATATTTCTTAGTAAGAAGCCATTGACTTAATAGAAACTTATCAGTGGTTCTGTACTTGAGCACAAACTTAAGCAATATTAATTAACCAAGAAATGATTTGAATTATCAAGAGGTATATTTTATATAATATATTTATAATAAATATAAATATATACACAACCAAACTTATATGGAATCATCTATTATTTTTCATAATTTTTGAGACGTATGAAACTTTTCTGTTTATGAATAAAACTCAGTCCTTACCAATGACTTTTATTGAAAAATAATCCATATAGCAATTAAAAAAAAATAATCATTTCCCAAAATAAACAAAATGGTATTTTTTTGGTTTCTGAAACGAAATTAAAATTAAAATTTTTAATGGCCAAAAAGCATAAGCAAAAAAGAAAATTGATAATTTTAATATTCCTTGTTGCCACCTCTAGCCCTTATGCAAGCTTCTATCCGCGCTGGAATGCTTCTTATTAAATTATCCACGTTGTCTTGGGGTATGTTTTCCCATGCTGCTAATGCTGCATCAATAAGCTGTGCGAGATTTCCTGGATTGTTTCGACGAGCTCTAACCCTTCTTTTGAGCTAGTCCCACAAGTGTTCGATAGAGTTTAGATCTGGTAAATAGACAGGCCAGTCCAAAACTATGACACCTTCCGTTTCAAGACATCCTCTAGTCACTCTGCTGATATGGGGAGGTGCATTATCGTGCACGAAGTTAAAATTATCCCCAATAGCAGCTCTCCAAAGACTAACGAGTGGTTCTAGCACCAAATCAACATATCTCCGACCCGTTAAAATTTGTTGAAGTGGTAACAATGGAGCTTTTGCTCCTAGTATAATACCTCCCCAGAACATTACTGTTCCTCCTTTATATATTGGTACAGATTTGGCAGCCTGGAGTCTCGCTCGTCTTCCTGGAGCTCTGAGAACCCGAATTCGATACTTATCTGATCTTAGGCCAATTCTGGTCTCATCCGAAAAAAAGAACATTTTGCCAATTCTCAGTTGACCAGTTTTGATGTTGAAGGCATCAATTTAGCGGGTCAATTTTATTTTGCCGAGATAACTGTGGGATCCGTAACGCTCTCCTGCTGTAAAACTCTTGTACACGAAGCCTTTTTCTTATGGTTTCAACTGAAACGTTCACATTTGTAGCTGCCAGAAGTTGTCCTTGTAGCTCTGGATGAGAAACATTGGGATTTATTCTAGCAATTTAGCACACAAGGCGGTCTTGTTGTTCAGTTGTGACTCTTTGACGACTTTGTCTGGGCCTATCCTTGTGTGTTCCTAATTCCAAGTACCTTGCATATGTTTTCGATACAACACCCTGGGTAAGGCCTACTATCTCTGCTACGTCTCTCTGGAGCATTCCTTGTTCGGTTAGAGCAATAATTCTTCCCCTCTATACATCTGTTAATCCAACATAAGGCATTTTTTAATTTTTTTGGATTGAATGAAAATTACCGGACAATCGTGATTTTACTGCTGAACACAAAATTCAAAAGAAAATAAATCGCAGCAGTCGTTTGTTCTTTATTATCATGTTGATTTACAACAAAAAGCTTTATCTTAAAGTTATATACCAATTTTTATCCATGCAAGAAATTTAGTCAGAAATAAAGAGTCATTCCATATAAGTTTGGTTGTGTGTATTTTATTAGTAATTTTTAGAATATATTGATTAATACATTTTCAGAGGGGTGTTGAAATTAATAACTTCGTCACACTAGACTAAAAGCGTAGGAATACGAATACAGTCGACTCTCGATAATTTGACACTCGTTAATTTGAATATCTCGATATATTGAAGTCCGTTAAGAAAATACTCGATAAATTGAAAAAAATTAATATAACTTCCCCTTAATAATTTGAATGAATTCTTGCTCCTTACTCTCCATAATTTGAACTCGACATTTTATAATGGGGATTCAGATGGTAGTTCTGCTGTAAAAAATGTCAAGTTGCTACATTTATTTATTTATTTCCTGACATTGTTATTCGTTTTGACACTTTAGTTTTGTATGACGAGTTTTTGGTTTAAATAAAAAGTGTTGCAACCAAACCAAACCAAACTCATCGCAACGTTATTAGAATATTTTGAACAGGAAAGCGATAGTAATGGCTCTTTATGTCCCTTAAGTGCTGTTAAGGAGGTGAGTTTTGTTGATGTAAATAATAACTGTTTATATATTTATAATTAATTTCTTTTTCCAGAAATATTTTGACTAAAAAAAATATGGCAACGCTGTAGCGGTCGAGCTTAATCACGTGACTAAAAGTTTATTTGATACGAACTATATACAGAGTGGTCCGAACTGTATTCCGGAAACTTCGGCAGCATATTCTGCAGATAAAAATAAGCAAAAAAAGCTCGTATACACGTATGTCTTAAAATGCTTAGTTTAGGAGATACAGGGTGTAGAAGTTGCATTTTTATTTCGATTTCTTCCAAATAATTTTTGAAGTAACGCCAATATTTGGATGAAAATTGGTGTCTTGGAGTTTTTTGATATGAGAAATTTGATCCTGATGTCAATATGACTCTTACTTGTAGAGGGCGCCACCTACATATTTTTTAATTAGTTTGAACAGTAATAACTTTTCGTCTGCACCTGTATAAAACTAGTGAGTAAAAAAATATACATCTACGATGTTTTTTATGTTAAAAAGGTCTCTTGGTAAAAATCGTTACGAGTAATGGTTCTCATATTTGGAATCAAAATTATCAATACCTGTCATCATTGACATAAATTAAACATGTTGACTAAATAGTTATTAGACTGAAATCTTAAATTTGAAATGTTTTTGTGCCAAAAGTTCAATAGAAACTGTTTTTTTCATCATTTTTTTTGAAGAAAAATTTATGATTAATTTAAAAAAAATAAAAAGTTTCCAAATTTATCATTTCAATGACATAACTATCTACTCAACATGTTTATTTTTTGTCAATAATAACATGTATTGACTATTTCTATTCTATATATCTTAAGAACGGTTGTTCGTAGCGATTTTTGGCAATAGGCATTTTTTACTTATTTTTATCTGCAGAATATGCTGCCGAAGTTTCCGAAATACAGTTCGGACCACCCTGTATATACCCTTTAACCCTATACTTTCACACCAAAAAATTTCGAAACAAAATAATAGTTACGGTCCCTTTCACCACTCTAGCGGTCTGTATGTCAAATTCCGAAAGATAACAGGCATAGCTGGAACCCTTTGGAAAGACTTCCCCAAACATATTATTGAAAAGGGAGGGATATGGATATCTCCGACATGCGGTAGGATATCAAAACAACGACATTCTCGACTCGCTATTAAAGGGGTTCCCTAAAATACCACGTAAAATTATAATCGACAGGAAAGCTCGTGGACAAAGGGACGATAAATATAGAAAGTTTTACCGCTGTAATACTTCACATATTTGAATCTATCCCTTCAGAGTGAAATGCTATGTTTACTCTACTGTTACTGTACAATTCAGAATTTTCGTGAAGATTTCAACTGGCGATTGATTTTAGTATGTATGGAATAGAGTTCTGTTGTTTTATTTATGACAGCTGGGTCGATGGAATGAGAGAATGAATTATTTTACACACTCTACATTTGTGAAATTTTATAAAAGTACATTTTTCTTGGCGTTGTTAGTAATATAAGGTATGTGTTGTCTTATTTTGTTTAGTGATTAGTATCTTCTACATTTACTACTTCTAACCAACTACCAGTTGAAGAATAAATAATAAATAACATAAAATAAGCCCAGTAAAGACTGACAAATCCACAAAATTTCAAATGAAATTCAAATGTGTCAAATGAATCGTCAAACAGAACTGTCAAGGCTGCACCTCGATATCATTATAATCCTTCCTTAATCCTATTATTCAAATATAGACTTCAATTAGGTTCAATTACAGCACACTTTCTGTGGTCTTTAATAATTGAAGGGTTCAGAAGTGAACCGGATCAAGTCCTAGAAGATAATTATGGAGAAAATGAGTTAAAGTTTTTTAATGTCACTTATTTAAAATAAAACAAGCTGGAGAAGAACACTTGACATAATGGTTTATTATATTTTAAATTGTATAATTACCAAACTAAAGTAACTCAAAATAGAACTGTGGTAATTTTTAAGAGAACGTTTGTTTATACTTTTGGACTTGAACCATTTTATCTCTGTAAATATTTGAAATTTTAGATATAAATTGGTTTATCTGTACATTCTTCTTCGTCATTAAAGGGATTTCTTGACTTTACATTGTCTATTAATAGTGCTTTCTTCAATTTTATAAAAATTATATTTTTTTTTTAATTAAAAGAGAATAAAGGAAAGATCTTTCATGTGTTGCCTTTTAAAGTGTGTTCCGTTACATCTATATGAAATGATAAGAGTTTTCTTTCTCGTGCAGTTTTATTCAGATCAACAACGTGTCAGATATCTAAGTATTTGTAAGAAAAACAGCCTAACTTTGTGATGTTGTAAAAGTGATAATAATGATAAATCAAACTATACTTTCAGAATCGATAGAATCAGACCTTTAAGATGGCTGATAATTTGATTCACTTGGCAAATGGTTCAGACTTTGTTTCATTGTCATGCTTTTTATCAAAACAGACTGTTTTTTAACTCTTTAAATTTATGGACAAAATCCAGTTCACTTCTGAAAGGAATCAACAGAATAGTCAGAAACCAAACAGAAACAGGCTATAGCTGCTTAAAATAGTAGGAAATTGGACTTCATCCATTTTTAATTCTGACCACTCAATTGTGAATATTAAAATTCGCCCAGTCCTACACTGTCTCAACAACAAGTCCTCCTTTTTTTCCGTTAGACACCTGTAGGAGCGAAAAACGAACGCACAAGAGCCAAAGCAGAACAAGATAAGCCTCTACGGGCTACGGCTATACACTCACCGGCATCCACCGCTGGCAGTTTCCGCATATTTTCCTGGCGGCGGCGTCGCACCGTCATTTTCCGGAAAACTGTGCCGCTGATCGGTTCGATATCGCACAACAGCTCTGCGGGGGGAGCGTTGGTGGCAGCGGAGGGGTTCTGGTCGCCGCAGCCGACGCCGTCCTGAAACGGGCAAAGATAAAAGTGTCAAGCGAGGCGCTATTGTTTGATGTATTCGGCGGTTAGTAGGGAGGGGTGATTGATAGAATCGATAAAATAGAAAAGATCGATAGTATATAAATCGGGACATAGTTAGGTAAAGTTAGGTTATATAAAGGCGTTTAGAGCGTTTAAAGCTCTGTTCAGCAATCGTTCAATGTTACGTCATCATTATTTTTCAAATATGCGTTTTAGGCTTAGATCTTATAAACTTCGTAGATAAGTAAATTCGCTTCATTTTTGTTGAAGACACGTCAGCGACATTCGACTATCTGATTATCTTTGTCTTTGACACTGACTGATCAATATTCTGTCTTTCTTTTTTGTGTTGTGTTTTGAAAGATCAAAATAGAAAATATAAATATATAAATTAGAGAAAATAATATTGTTATTCGGATATTAATTATTTATTGAATAATATTTTAATATTTACTAGTATATTAATTTAAAGAAAAAATCAAAAGGTAAATTACTTAATAATGTTTAAAGTGATTAAGTTACTTAACATTAATAGTTATTTTTTTATACAAGAGTGAAAAAATTAATTCACGAGCGATGAAATCACGAGAATGGGTAACACACAGAATCAGTAACCAGGGAAACATTAAAATATGTGTTACCCATTCATTATAGCTATTTTTCAAAGTAGTATTTTAAAGCGGGGTTTCCACATGCAAGGATTACTGGCGCCAGTGTTCGCCAGTTTATCGGCGCCACAATTAAATGGCACCATTACCCGTTTCCACAGGTCTATAGTAAATTTAAAACTGGCATGTAATTACGGTCAGTTTTATGAGATTTTAACATCTTGTTATGCTCTAGGGTGTAAGCATTCATAATACTTCGAATTTTGGCCTTTGCGGAATTTACATCATTTGCTGAGAGAATCAGACATGACTCCAACAATTCTTCTGAAGGCTTCATCCCTTTTATTTCGGTCCTTATAATCACTTATTTTATTGTTCCATAAACAAGGATGTTGTTCGTAGGCTTCCAAAAACATTATTATTAATTCAGTAGACCACTTTTTTGAAACAAACGACATTTTTACGACTGGAGATGCTTGCTGTATTGTTTACACACAAAACTGGCTCCAAAAAGTACAGGAGCGTTGAACTTTACTGGCACATGGATTAGTGGCGCCACTAAACCAGTCGATTACAGGTACAATAAAACTAGTGCCAGTTGAATGGCGCCAGTAATCCTTGAATGTGGAAATCCGGCAAAACATTTTTAAAAAAAGAATTTATCGTTATATTATTTAATTTTTGTTTCATCGATGTCCGTCAATAAAAATATAACCCTAAATCAAATGAAAATGACAGTTGAACGTTAGCATCATCTGAACGTAGCTGAAACTGAGTTTAATTTGATACCTCATTTTCGTCCTTGATAGTTGATTCTTCTGGAAGAGACCTGGTGGTAAAAGGCACCTTTTTCATATCTTTGTTCGATTTGCTCTGAGACAAGGAACGGCTGCGGAACGACGCCAAGTCCGGTCCTGGCTTGGAACTATCAAAACTAACATGCCTTTCCAAAACTTTGTCCGGTTCATCTTCTGCTCTAGATGGATTGCACTTGACAGGATTGTCTCCTAAAAAACATGTCAATATCACAGTTATTTTTATTCAATTATGCTTATTTCACAGTCTATTACAATCTGATAAATAAATATACGAGGCATGTTTTTTAAGTAAGTACCGTTTTGCGATTCCGCCGCCGCAGCGCTACGGTCAGCGTTCCGCGCATGCGCGCTAGTTACCTACATCTCTTGTCTATGCACAGACGCCAGTATAGTCTGATTCTTCATTGTATACGTTGTTTATTGAGTGTTATGATGCCTCCGACAATCGTGAGCCCCGCCGATTGTGAAGTAAGGGCTGTCATACGATTTCTTAGTGCTAAAGGCGTAAAACCGATCGATATTCATCGTGAGATCTGTGAAGTTTACGGACAAAACATTATGAGTGATGGAATGGTAAGGAAATGGGTGAGAGCATTTAAAGATGGCCGCACAAATGTGCATGATGAAGAACACAAAACCCAACGTTTAGGCAGTGCATTGACTTTCCTTGAGCAGTACCACAATGAAGGTGAAGATTTTTTAGACAAAATTGTTACTGGACGAAACATGGGTGGCCTACGTCTCACCAGAATCGAAACAACAATCCATGGAATGGCGACATTCATCATCACCCAAAACAGTGAAGTTTAAGCAAACAATTTCTGCCCGGAAAATCATGTGCAGTTTTTTGGGACAGAAAAGGAGTATTGCTAGTTGAGTTTCTGCCTCGTAATGTGACAATCAATGCAGCATCTTATTGTGAGACATTGAACAATCTGTGCCGTGCAATCCAAAACAAAAGACGTGTCAAGTTGAGTAAGGGTATTGTTTTGCTGCATGATAATGCCCGTCCACATGTGGCTAATCGGACCAAAGATCTCATCAAATCTTTTAAATGGGGAACTCTAGATCATTCTCCATACAGCCCTGATCTGGCGTCCAGTGACTACTATTTATTCCTGCACTTGAAGAAACACCTGGGCGGTCAGCGTCTTCAAGACGATAACGAAGTCAAAACAGTTGTGATACAGTGGTTAGCCAGTCAGGCGGCAGAATTTTATGAGGAGGGTATTGAAAAACTGGTGCCACGTTATGACATGCTGACAAGGAAAGTAGATTAAGGTACAGGCTTTCGTATAAAAATAAAATTATTGCGATATCTTTGCACGTTTTTTAATTCCAAAACGGTACTTACTTAAAAAACATGCCTCATATTATGAAAAAAATGCAAACTTCTTACTAACAGCTATTAAATTGGAGGATTTGAAAGACATGTTTGAAAAAGTGACATATAATGCTGTTTTAATATACAAAACTATTAGAAATTTTCAATTTTATTTCTGTAATCTGTACATTTCTGTTTCCTCCAATAGCCTGCAAATTTTGTGGAATACCACTCAAAATGCACACTTTTATGCAAATATCTAATAATGTTAACGCTTAAATTGATTTAAGAAGGGAAAAAACTTTGAACTTAACCGACAATTCGTATTTATAGTGGTTTACAGTAATTTTGTTAAATTATATGAATATTCTCGTTGATTATTGGTTTGAAATAAATATGACGATGTCCTCAATGAAAATGCGAGAGTTGCTTAACTCTAATAATTCTAATTCTGTACTAGCAAATGAGCTAAATGAAAGATAACGTTTCTGATAAATGAGATATTTGTAGACACAATTTTGAAATCGATAGTTTTGAACATCACTATATCACAATCTTTCGATAGCTTCGGCAGCATAGACTGAAACTACTGAATGGGAAATACATTTTACCTGTAAACTCGTTGATAAAAGGCTCTATATGACTCGAAATATAGTTTCAGGGAGAGTACCTTTTGACTGTGTGAAAAGTGGAAAATGAGTATTAGTTAATTGCTTTCAGTTATGATTGTTTATACAGGGTGTAAGAAAAATGTGTACAAACAAATGGATATTTTAGTGTTTGTTGAGATTAAAAAAAATGTTTATGAACAAGAACCATCCGTAACTTTTTGACAGTCTGTATATTTCAGAAGAAAGTCACCAATCAAAAACAAACAAATATTAGATAATAATTTGAAAAAAAAATGGAAAAAAATTGATACTTACTTAAATGACTTTCCTGTTCTTCCTTAGTTTTGTCTTCATTCTCCACAACTACCTCCACGACAGTCTCTGCTCTTGGCGACTTTCTACGTGCCTTCTCTTCCTTGGTCTCCCTCAAAGATATAGACATCAGAGGATTTACCCTGACAGGTCTCTTCGGTATCTGGTCCTCTCCTGTTACAAAAATATCGAAAATTATTTCTATATAGATATTAATACATCACAAAAATTAGAAACACTCATGCTCGTATATTTCATACCAATTAAACTTTTAGTTACGTAATAGAGGGCGCGATTTTTAAATTCATTGTTGCCAACCATGGATATATTCGGCGCCGTGCTGACCAACTGGAATTTAAATTTCGCGCTGGGGATTCAGGTGGTAGCTTTGCTGTAAAAAATGTCACGTTGCCAAATTTATTTATTTCCTGACATTGTCATTCGTTTAACACTTTAGTTTTGTATTACGAGTTTTTGGTTTAAATAAACACTGTTGGCATTGAAGCTTGAAAATGTTTACTAGCAGACCTTACTGCAGTCGAACATTGTTCTTTTTTAGAACACTCTTTTAGTGCGTAGTGTATAAGATAGCTATTAGAATATTTTTGAATAGCAAAGCGGTAGTAATGGCCCTTTACGTCCCTTAATCCCTTAAGTGCTGTTAAGAAGGTGAGAGTTTTGTTGATGTAAATAATATTTATATATTTATAATGAATTTTTTTCCCAAAAAAAAATATTTTGATCAAAAGAAAATAAATAAAAATATATATAAAAAAGGTATTGGTATATCAGCAGCGCTAGATAGGTCTTTCACGTAGTCCCTGTTACCGTTCATGTTGATCGCATTGAAATAATATAAAAATCGTGGCTTTATTTTTATCAACGTCAAGTACTTAAAGTAGTAATGGCAGTATGACTAAAAAACAATATTGTTGCGGACCCGTGTGGACTCGACCTAACCTAACTATATGTCCCGCCCTCAGATGACCTTAATATCGCATTAAAGACTAGACGCCGTAATGATTCATTCGAACGTTCGAGAACAATCGAGTTCCACTGGAATGGAGTAGTACATACGAGAACATTCGAAACCTTCTCTATGCACCTAATAATCTATGGATTATTCGAGAACTCTTTAGCTGTGGGTATAAAATCCACATACGTATTACTTTTTACAAATATACTCAAGGGTTCGCACTATTTACAACCGTGTATTGCAATTTCTATTGCCGTAGAAAAGACAATAACATGTAGCTCCATATTAAAACTGCATAAGTCTATTTCACCCGGATATGGATTGAACTGCGATTGCGCCAAACTCCGATTGATTGTTGTTTTAGTTCTGTTTGGATTACTTTTTTATTTGTGCGCGTAAAAGGGTGATTTTGTTTAGTTTATTGTTTCCAACTATTTTTGATATTTTTCCAACTCCATGATATTGTGTTATAAATAATAAAAATATAAATAAAATTGAAGGTTAAGGGAAAATGTCAGTCAACCACTTCCTTTTAAAAACATCGACCAATGAAAACTTCTTCAGGTGAGGCATGCTCAGTTAAATGAATATCCGGGTGAAATAGACTTATGCAGAATTCCATATTGTTCTTTCACTGTTTGGGCTTCGCTTTTTGGAGATTAGGCTGAGTATATTTGTAAAAAGTAATACGTATATGATAAAATCCGACGGCTGGAGCCTGAGGAGCATAGAAATAAATAGACGAGTACAGTTGTCGCGCTAAATTCAAAATAAATTCGTTATAAATAGTTTGTATATAGTTTTTTAAGTCTTTTAATCGTTATTGTTTGTTACTTAGTGTAAATAAATTGTGACTGTCTATCCACACGGAACCGACGAAAAAACGTAACAATATGTTTTCATTAAGATTTACTTTCAAATCTGCATCATCAATATTCAGAATTCAAAGCTTTGAACTGACCTGGATTGTCTTTATTTTCGTGGTATACGTCTTCAGATTTTGTGCGTCTTTGAGGCGATGATCTCCTGGGTGTATCGGTGGACCTGATACCCAGCAAGGATGGGTAGTTCGATATGTCTTGACCTCTGGGCAAGCTGTTGTACGGGCGAAGCTCAGGTGATGTCCTTAAGGCTGTCCATCTGGGACTGGGATCTAGAAGTAGGGAGTATATGAGTGGTTTACATTTAATAGATTATCTGTTATTTTAAAAGAAATCTATACTAATAAGGCTAATATATAAAATCCTTAAGTGACTGACTCACTGATTAATCGATCTGCCCAAATCACTCAACGTAAGAAGCTCAATTTTGGCATGCAGGTTGATACTAGGGTGTAGAGGCCGATAAGGGATTTTCGAAATTTATTTCAAAAGGGCGTAAAACCACCCCTCAAATATTACAATATTTTTTATTTAAAAACGGTCAGTTTCCGAAAAACGCTTAAACACGTATATTTTATTATGTTTTACATATTTTAAGATATTTTAAAATGTATACAGGGTGTTTCGAAAAAATCTGGTCATTGGTTGAAATCACGATCCTGCTTCAAGCGCTTGATGTAAAAGCTGATTTTTGGAAAACCGGTTGACTTTAGAGTGTGAGGTTCGATAAGAAGGGGATTTTCGAAACTCGAATTCTAAAGGGGTGAAACCACCCTGAAATATTAGAATATTTTCTATTTAAAAACCGGTGAGTTTTTCGGAAAAACTCTTAAACACGTATATTTTTATTTTTGTTGTTTACATATTTTAGGTTTTTTAAAATTTATACAGGGTGTTTCATAAAATATGGCCATTGAGTAATCACGATTCTGTTTAAACTGCTTGACGTTTAAAGCTGATTTTTTGCCAAACAATGGATTGACTGTGGGGTGTAAAGGTTCGATAATAAGGAGTTTCTCGAATCTCATATTCCAAGAGGGTGAAAACGCCCCTCAATATTACAATATTTGTTATTTAAAACGGTTAGTCTTTCGGAAAACGCGGACACATAATTTATTTTTGTTTTTACATATTTTGAATTTTTTTAAAAAATCATACAGGGTTCCAAAAAGTTGGGTAAATGATTAACGACGATTCTGCTTAAACTGCTTGACGTAAATAGCTTGTTTTTGGCAAACATTGCCATTCTAAATGATTAATTCGACGCGAACGAAGTCGCGGGTACACACTAGTAGAATATAATTTCGGTTTTAGACTTACTGGATATTGTCCATGACCTGCGTATAGTTCTCTTGATGATATCCGCCGCGGGAACGTACACTCTGGCATCTCTGCGTCTGCTGGGTCTTCGAACAAACTCGTTCATCCACTCACCAGAGGCAGCTTGGATTTCCCTAGAAATAAACAAAATATATGTAGAGCAGTTTCCTTTTTATGTTTATTATTCAATTTGCCTTTAAATGTCATCAGATATTTTTATACAGCAAAATTTAAGAAAACTAAAAAAAACGATAGTAACGTATGCATATGTAAAATATAAACTTGGCAACCCGGCACGTGTTATTACAATATAATCGATATATATGCACATTGCACATTATTTATCACGATAAATTCTACGAAAAGCATTACGGAACAATTAGTTTTGTTTTACGTATTTTATACCAATTTAATTTGAACACATATTGAACGCTGTTCCATTAACTTATTTTATATCAAACAAAAAATGAAAACACGGCCATAACATTTCGAAAATTTCAGCATATGCCCATCAGCAAATTTTATGTAGATTCTGAATATATAAGCCTTTGCCGAAAAATGCAAATGCTTGGTTCGGCCAAAACCAATGCTTTGGTTCAAACCAAAATCGTCAATTTTCATGACCTGGTATATGCATGGGAAAATGTCGAAAATGCTAATTTTGGACATTTTTACAGCTCTTTCATAGCTCTAGAAAAATAGAAAACAAAGGTCATAAAATTTAAAAATGTCAAGATTTGTAGCAATTTTATGTACATTTCGAATATATAAGCTTTTATATGCTTAAATGCTTTGGTTCGGTGAGAAATATGATATTTCGAACCCTTGTTTCGAGTTTTTTTCTGATGATGGCTAAAATTATGCCTACATATAAAACCGAATTGTGAGACTTCACATGGCCCTACTTATTTTTTTTTGTATTGTACACGCATTAATTAGTAAATAATAGTGTTTTCATCAAATTCGGTGGGTGGTCAAAATCGTAAATTTTATGGAATTATATATTTTTTAAAAAAAAAATGTAGAAAAAATGAATATTTTTATATTTTTGCTCCTTTTTTAGAGCTCTAAGAAAACTAGAAAACAAGGTCATAAAATTTTGAAAATTTCAAGATTTATAGAAAATTTTATGTAGATTCGAATATATAAATAACTGTAAGCTTAAATGGTTTGGTTCGGTGAAAAATTCAACTTTTTGAAGCCTTGTTTGAAAATGATTTTTCACTTGTCCAAAATCGACAATTTTAATGACATGGAAAAATGTCGAAAACCCGTTCACTCGCCGCCACTGTGTGATATGAAGATAAAAATCATCAGTGAAATGAAACTGTATTGTTATGTTAATATCTTTTTTTTATAATACTTATATCAATGTCTATACGTATATCAATGTATTGCAAAGGTCAAAAACATAATTTTGACTAAGTCTTATTTGTTGTCCTGATGAATGTCTCCATTATTCTAGATATTTGTTGGTCTAATTGATTTTGAGCCTTGTTTGGCCTCTTCATTTGCCTTTTCGTTATTCTGGTGACCCTTATTCCACTGTTACAACCGGATATATTTTATTACTTTAATCATAATTTTATTTTCTCAATTGATAATCTTAGACAAAAATCTTAAAAGCAAATATTATTTTCAATTAATATAAAAGAAATGTTTACTATTATTGTCCGGGTACTCAAATTTATTGTATTTATAGAATAAATTGTATGATAAGTCACACTATTGACAATGCTATAACACTTGACACTTAAACAGCACCTGTGAGATACTGAACTTAAAATGAATGAAAGTGAAATATGATTCAAATTGAACATCAGTTAAGTTTGAAAAACTTAACTTAAAAAAAAAAAAAAAAAAATATATTTAATTTCATTATTTGTAAACATACAAACAAAGTGTGTGAAAAAAATGAAATGAAAGTGAAAATAGTATCGTTTGGTAATAATAATATTTGTAAAATTACATTATTTTTGTGAAACTATGCAAAAATAGATTTTCAAGTAATAAACTTATTAAAGATATCTGTAAAATATCCATATTGTATTTGACATAAAACTGTCCGAGATGTAGCTGGCGTTACCGTCGGCCTGTCCGAGAATTCCGAAATTTAGTTTAACTCTGCGCCTCTGCGCGCTGATAGTCGTTTACAGCGCAGCGAATGGGAAATACTGCACCGTAGTTCTGCTTTCAGTCGGCAGAGTGAGTGGTTGCCGGAGACAGTGTTGCCAAGAACTATTAATTAATCCGTAGATTTTTACGGATTTTGGGTACAGTACGTTAATAATACGGATTTTCTATCATTAAACAATTTAATATAATAAATAATTATATGATCAAAGAAAGAACGCCGTCAGAGTTGGCTTGGAAATGAAGATCGCCTGTTACTTTGTAAAATATTTTGGTAAATGTCATTAATCATCATTTCCAAGCCATCTAAACGATTTTTTTTCGATCGTTCGACATATTCAGTACCTATAAAAGAATTTTTGTTTTTGTTGTTTATTCTATGTGTAACACGAAAAAATTTTTCATCCAACAATATTTTCGTCAAACGTATTGCAGATGTTACACATTTTAATATGGCAACACTGTCGCTTTCAGATGCACACCGTCTTCGATATGCCTTCGCTGGCCGAATTAGAGAAAATAAGTGTTTTATGCGTTGACCATAGAACGATTGGTGTCTCCACCGTACAGCACTTGAGACGTAAGGGGAAATCAAATCAGTCTTGTCATGAATTCGCCCATTAGGTTGTGTAAGTAATGTAAAGGTTAGGTAACGAAGTAATGTAGAGGGAGATTCGCGTCGAAAGCCATTAATTCAGTTCACAGTTCAAATAAATCGGATCGTTTTTTCGTCTTCACATGTATCAAGGTTTTACTTGATACATTTTGACCGAACAGGTAAAACGTTAGGTGTAGATGGGGCTTTAGAACTTATTCACTTCTAAACCAACACTCCTTTGTTTCGACAGAAAGAAGATACTGTATCTAAATTTGACTTTAGGATATAAAAAAAATGGGAAAATATGTTTACAACATATTAATTGTAAATAATAGAACTCGTACAAACAAGTACCTGTACTATTAAAAATAAACTCGGCTTAAATGCAGGGAAATATCTGTTCAATAATACATGAAAAGAAACACTTGAAACCGATAAATAAGATTAGTCTGAAAGCACGATAATGGTTGGTATATAAACAATGGAACGATTGAGGAAATATCAATTTTAATTTGTGCATCAGAGATTAACAGCTCAGGTAAGTCTAATTTCGAACACTTGTTTTGTAGTTCTAGCATAGTAGAATGAATATATCTTAAAAACTGTCCAAACTTCATTGAATATAATAAAATCAAAAATATTTAGTAACTAATATGGAGACAACAAAAATAATTCTACTTTTTAATACATTTAATTCTTAATTCACGTTTTCAATTATCGCGATCTTAGAGATCTATTGTATCTCCTTTCTTGAGTTATAAATCATCATACTGTCTCAGGGTCTTGACTAAATCCAGTATCTGAGACTGTTTGAGTGATGAGGTTCTGCCGTTTCCCTACAGAATCTACATTCGCCGTTGTTTCTTAGCTTTAATTTACTGTTCATTGAGGAGACAGTGTCAACACAGTGTGTTACAAACCCCGTGACAATCCGAAGATTGTTCTTACTTAAATCAAGGAAAATCTTTGACTTTTCCTAGGTTGCTATACCTTCCGTTTCTATTCCATATCTGTTCCGTATTTTTTATTGTATTGACGCTATACGTAAGCTTCCGTTCCGTATCAATTCCATACTTTTTCTTGTAGAATTAATATCATTACGAAAGTTTTATTTTAAAAATTTCTATCTTTTGCAAAAGGTAATAGATTTAATTAAGGGGTAAAAGAATAAATAGATATCAGCAAAATTTTAATAGAATTGGTACAAATGTAAGAACTTGACAACGCTGTTTTCGATACGCTTCAGTCCGTCCGTCAAAAAATGTACGGAAGGAAACGATATGAAACGGAAGGGAAACGGAACGGATAGTGTGCATTGTCCTATTCATTTACATGATATAATATTTTATGTAAACGGAAAGGAGGTGATATGGAAGGTATAGTGAGAATCAACCTTTAAGTTGGTTTCCACTTGGAAGCAGAACGGTTCTGGTCCAGCTAGTGAGTTTTTCTAAGTAGAGTAGGAGGACTTCATTCTTTGACCAACTTCGATAGCGTAGATTTCTGCCTCAAGGGTGCTTGGGTAAGTGCCCATTGGTCGGAGTATTTAGTTTCCTTCCCAGGGCGGCTTCAAATTTTCAGTTATTTTAATGTAAAATATTACAATAAAATCGCTTAATTCCTTAGCGTTGTTTTTAGTTGTAAAAACTATTAATGTGCAAATCATTTCCTACAACGTTGTCAATATTTGAGTATATTTGTTAATTATAAATCTAAAATTGTTTGTAAATTATACAGGATGAGTCTTAAATAAGCGCAAATATTTTCAGGGGTGGTATATTTCGACGTCTGTGAGCTTTTTTTTCGCAATTTTTTTTTGAAAATTTGGAATTTTTGAAAAAAAAATTTTGGAGATTTCTTAAATTTTAGTTAAAAAACATAATATCTTAATAATATATAGCAACATAGGTAGTAGATTAAATCTACAAGAAAGAAAACCAAGAAAAGGTCCAGTGGTTCTCAAGATTTAAGCGAAAAATAATATTTTTTAAATTTTCAAAGTAAATATGTTTTTTTCATCGAGATCTATCAGCCCTGAAAATATTTGCACTTATTTAAGACTCACTCTGTATATACAGGGTGGTCCGAAACTCTGTATATACAGGGTGGTCCGAAACGCTGTATATACAGGGTGGTCCGAAACTCTGTATATACAGGGTGGTGCGAAACTGTATTCCGGAAACTTCGGCAGCATGTTTTACTGATAAAAATAAGTAAAAAAGTTCATATAAATGTATGTCCTAAAATGCTTAGTTTCGGAGATACAGGGTGTAGAAGTTTCATTCTTATTTCGATTTTTTCCAAATAATTTCTGAAGTAACGTCAATATTTGGATGAAAATTGGTGTCTGGGAGTTTTTTGACATGAGAAATTTGATTTTAATGTCAAAATGACTCCTATTTGTAGGTGGCGCCACCTACATGTGTTTTAACTGTTTTGAAGAGTAGTAACTTTTTGTCCGTACCTGTATAAAACTACTGAGTGAAAAAATCCGTGATTTTTTACGTAAAAAATATCTCTTGGTAAAAATTCCTACGAGCAACCGTTCTCAAGTTATTTACAATGGAAATAGTCAATACATGTCATTATTGACTAAAAATAAACATATGTTGAGTAGATAGTTATTTGACTGAAATGAGAAATTTGGGAACTTTTTATTTTTAAACTGATCATAAATTTTTTCTTCGAAAAAAATGATGATAAAACAGTTGAATTTTGGCACAAAATCATTTGCAAATTTATGATTTTGGTCTAATAACTAATTAGTCAACATGTTTAATTTATGTCAATGATGACAGGTATTGGTAATTTCGATTCAAATATCTCGAGAACCATTACTCATATTTTTATCAAGAGACCTTTTACGTAAAAACATCGTAAAAGTATATTTTTTTAACTACCTAGTTTCTTTTATACAGGTACGGACGAAAGAGTTATTACTCTTCAAACGAGTTAAAAATACATAGGTGGCGCCCTCTACCAAGTAGGAGCCATACTGACATCGAAATCCAAATTTCTCATGTCAAAAACTCCCAGACACCAATTTTCATCCAAATATTGACGTTACTTCAAGAAATTATTTGGAAAAAAATGAAATAAATGAAACTTCTACACCCTGTATCTCAAGCTAAGCATTTTAGGGACATGCTACATGGCAGAACTTTTTACTATTTTTATCTGCAGAATATGTTGCCGAAGTTTCGGAATACAATTCGAACCACACTGTATATTGATTAAAAAACACCGCTTTAGAATAACACATTAGCTTCCTACACTTGATTGAAACTTGATAAACATATTAAAATTATCTCCAAACCCACTTAATTCATAATTGTAAATTAAATATCGCTGGTACCAAGAATAGAATAAAACGCAAATTAAAAAGGTACTTGTAAAATTTGCATTCAACTCAAAAAAGATGAAAATGTATTAGAAAATAAAGATTCACTTAAATTAGCCAGTGAACTGGAATTCAAAAACAGCTGTCTTCAATAATCAATTTTAAACAATGTTGTTTCAAATAACGTCATTCGATCATTGAACATCAACGTAATTTTTCTTTTTGACACACTATCATTTCTCTTATATTAACCTTGTAATTTTAGGGGCATAAATAGAATTAATAGCGTTCAGTAATGATTTTTACTACAAATCAGTATACGCGACCTTACAGATTTATTGTTTCTCTCTTTCTTGAATTATAACTCATTATAGAGTCTCAGGGCTTGGAAAAGAACCAGTATCTAGGACGGTGTTTATAGAGGTTAGTTCTCAGTGATAAGGTGTTCTGGTGTTTCCCATTTTCTCCACAGAATCTGCATTCGCCGTTATTTCTTAATTACTTCAATCTAATGAGGTGTTCATTGAAGAGACAGTGTCCTGTTAAAAATCCAGTGACAATTCGAGTACTAATATGTCTACTTAATTTAGTACAGTAGTGTGACTATTGCATATTGCATCTAATAGCCCGATATACATATTTATACACATTCCTTTTCCTTTTATAGTATGAAATTCATTATCGCATTGGTTGCTACTTTAGTAGCATGCTCCGAAGCTGTCCGCTTCAACATCCAAAACCTAGACGGAGGTCCAATCTGGATAGGTATCCAAGGCAACCCAGGCAAAGAGAACTTGGCCAATGGTGGATTCAAACTTGCCCAAGGAGAGTCTGTAAGTGCACCATTTTATAATATTTACCAGAAATGTAGTAATGTATCCATTTTTACGTTGCAGAGAAGTCTGGATGCTGCCAGCGACTGGGCAGGAAGGTTCTGGTCCAGGACTTGGTGTTACGAAGATCAGGACAACCATTGTTACACTGGTGACTGTGGCAACAAGGTTGAATGCAATGGTGCCGGTGGTACTCCTCCTGTAACACTGATTGAAATCACTCTGAACGGATATGGAAACATTGACTATTATGACATTTCTTTGGTTGACGGATACAACAGTATGGCTTCGGTAAGAGTCATTGTTTTTGATTTTTTTTGCTTTATAACGTAAGCGGAGACTGAGCTAAGGATAAGAAAAATACAGAAATAACATATCGTACCAAATATACTTTAGAGAATTTTAACGTATTGCCTATCTATCTGATAAGCAGTCAATGCAGATTTTTTTGAGCACTGGGTACATTCCGTCCTTTTGTACAACACACCTCGATAATGAGTCTTTCTTCATAATCTTTCTTGGTGGATTCGTATTTTCAGATAATTTTTTATGTCGTTATCACCACAATGGCGATGTTACTATTCTCTCTTCCATCACCTGCTGACTGACGGGGTTCTATTATCGACGAGACTGTTTTTATTAATAAATATATTGTTTTGCCTTGCAAAGTTTCAGCCTTCAGAAATCACCCGTTTGAGGTAGCGCTGACCGGTTTGTGTCCCCATACTGCTTTGTCTCACTGTTATATTTTTGTTTGACATTGCAATCGAATGTTCTCTACAAATTTTGAGCTTTCAGAAAACAATTTGGTGGTGTCAATTAAAATTACACCTTTGTGCGCTTCTCAGCGCCAGGTTTCCCAGAACTGGAACTGCCGACTGTACCTTTGCTTTTTAACACTAAAATGTGTAATGATTCGATTGATATGAGCCTTCAGAAAACTCTTGCATGTTTTTGCACCAGCTCTTGGACTATAAGTCCTGAGAAACTTCTTCGCGTATCTTAGACCTTTGGAGGATTCTCTTTCCAAGTTATCAATTGAGTCTTTCAGTTTCTCGAGTTCAGCTTTAGATCGGTAAAAGAACGATTCTGGTCCAGTTAGTGTAGTTTGCGCGTGTTCGCTCCATTTCTAGATAGATCGTTCTCTTTTTCATTACCTTCTTTCTTGGTGAGCTGGCGCCCAGAGTAGAAGGACTTTATTTTCTTTGCCTAATTCACGTTGTAAGAGGAAATATAGTTACCGGGGTCCCATAGAGGTTAAGTTTGATTTTCATACATCCGTTATCCGACGATACGATGATACGATATTAATTTTATTAATTGAATTTAACGAATTTGATTGGTTAGAAACGGTTAACCAATCGAAGCCTTTTAATTCAACCAATAAAATTAATATGGTATCATAGTATCGTCGGACAACGGATGCATGAAAATCAAGCTTTAAGCCTAAGAATCTATTACGCTGTATTTCGTAATAGATCGGTCGTTTGTAATAGATGGTCGCTTTCAGGGGTCGGGTAAAGCGGGTGTGTGGCCGAAGGAAATATATATTATATTTCAGAAATCTGCCTAAGGCTTAGCCCGATCCTGTCGTGTTAAGCCACACCCAAAATTCCAAACACACGTGCCTTGATTAAGGCTTGATTAAGGTTTGCAGAGCTTCAGCATTTGCCATAAAATAGCGACCAATTTGTTATGAAACCATATAAATTATATATCACTGTAATCATAAAACTTCAATCTATTTCCGTATTGTAACGGACTTTTAAATTACGTCTTTATTTTCGAGAAAATTTAATCCAAACATAAGGAATATTTTGTTGATGTTTGACCATCAAAATCCTAAAAATAAAGAAGTTGTCTAAAAATGTGCTACAATACGGATACAGTATAATCCTTTATCTTTAATTTCCTTCTTCATTTGTGTAATATACATATCCAGTTTTATACAAAACGTTAAATGTCGAACGCTTATTTTGCTACTTTTTCGGACCAGTAAAATGGACTCTTACGGAAGGAAGATTAAGAGACTAAACTAAGTTTCTTTCAGATCGAACCGGTTAACGGCAACGGCGACGGAGGCGAGTACAGCTGCAAACAAGCCAAATGCGCCACCAACATCAACGGCCAATGTCCCTCCGAACTCCAGATCCTCAGCCCCGACGGCAGTCAGGTCATTGCTTGTAATTCCGCTTGTAAC